CTTATATAATGGGGCATTTGGAATCACAGTGGTAAAATGCATGGTATGGGACATGCAGATTTGCTTTTGCCCTATTATATAGATTAACGGGTTGGGTAGAATTGAAGTTCCTTCATACATTGCATAAATTGTACATTAAAAATCTCACTAATCTTATAGGGCCCCTACTGAGCATGTAATGCTCACCCCTTAATGAATTTATTGCAGGTTCTGAATCTGAAGTTTAGTTGTGACAAGAAAACAAGAAGAAAGTGTTGCAGCTTTGAATGTTTTGTTAAGAGTCTGTATTTTCCTGAAATTTTGCTTGTAAAATTACAATGTAAATTACTTTGGTTTAAATAGAAGATTTATGTTTAATTCTCATGTTTCTTGCTATTAAAATTTTAAACTTTAGTTTTTTTCTTTTACCTCACACTCTCAATAATTAAGTAAATAAATTGGGGTGTGACATGGATTGCCAACACCGTCACACCGTCAATTAGCATGCAACTTGGGAAATTTGATACAGCCAAACAAGCATGGGATTTTTTGTCTCAAAGATATGTTCACAAAAACTTTGCCCACAGATACAAATTGGAAGGGGACATACGATCTCTTAAACAGCAAAAGGGACAATCCATCTCAGATTTTCATTCCGAAATGTCTGTCATATGGGATCAATTGGCACTCACATAACCTCGATGGACCGTAGATGCACGTTTGTGGGATACCTATCGTGAGGAAACAAACTTGTACAAATCTTGATGGCACTTCGAGATGAGTTTGAATCTGTAAGAGCATCAATTTTACATGAGTCACCCCTCCCAACAGTAGATGCTGCCATGACCAAGCTCCTCACTAAAGAGACAAGAAATGGCATTAATCCTGACATAAACTCAGTATTTGCTGCCCCTCGCTCCTATAGTACTTTTCCGAAAGGAAATCCAGATATACCCCAACGTGATCTATCTCAAATTCAATGTCGTTATTGCAAAGAGTATGGACACAAGGTCAGCTTTTGTCCTCATCCCAACTCTCGCTATATGAGGTAGAAGAAAAGCTCAACTACTACTGTATCGTCTACCGCAGCCTCTGTTCCATATGATGGCAAAAATATCACTGCTCAATCCACTACACCAACTGCAGCGGATATCCAAGAGATGATTCATCAAGCTCTTAATATGAAAAACAATGTCGGTAATAATCCTAAGGTTGCATCTGCTTTTTCTGTCCCATCAGGTAAATATTCAACAGAATGGTTTCTAGACTCAGGAGCATCAAATCATATGACATATGATCCATCATCTTTTCACCACTCTACACCTATTACTTCATCACCAATAATTCATACTGCAGATGGATCACCTGTTACAGCTAGTCATATTGGTTCTATTAAAATACCTGATGCTTTGTCACTTCCAAATGTATTCTTAATCCCTAAATTGTCCATGAATCTATTATCTGTCGGACAACTTTGTGATCTTGGCCTTAATGTTATCTTTTCTTCCTCTGGTTGTATAATTCAGGATCACTTGACGAAGAAACAGATTGGGACCGGCCGTAGAGTTGGTCGATTATATGCAGTGGAGAAGCTTCACATTCCCTCCTCATCCATCACATCGCTCTTTGCTGCCCCCACACCTACTTGTACACCGTTCATGTCTTGGCACTCACGTCTAGGCCATATTTCCTTTTCTCGTCTTCGCTATATGTTCAATAAAAGGTTGTTGGATCAATCTAAAATTGACAAAGAACCTTGTTGTGTCACTTGTAGATTGGCAAAACAACCTGCTCTTAGATTGGCAAAACAACCTGCTCTTCCTTTTAATAATAGTACAACAGCTTCTTCCGCTCCCTTTGACCTTGTACACTCTGATATTTGGGGAAAAGCTCCAATTTCCTCCATGGGAGGTGCTTTATATTATGTTTTATTTGTAGATGATTACTCTCGCTACACCTGGATATATTATTACGTTCTCGTTCAGATTTTCTTAAGATTTACATCGAGTTTAGCACCATGATTCAAACTCAATTCTCCAAAACCATCAAAGTGTTTTGTTATGATTCAGGTGGGGAATACATCTCCACTTATTTTCTTGATTATCTAAAATCCCAAGGAACTACTCCACAACTTTCTTGTCCCGAAACACCACAACAAAACGGTGTTGCAGAACGTAAACACCGACATATTATAGAAACGGCTAGATCATTACTGATTTCTTCATCTGTTCCTAGTCATTTTTGGGGGGAATCTATTCACACTTCTGTATTCATCATTAATCGCATCCCCTCTTTGGTCACCAATGGTTTATCTCCCTTCGAGCGTCTTTATAACACTCGTCCAGATTATTCAGAACTCCGTGTCTTTGGGTCAACTTGCTTTGTTCTTCTTCCCAAACGAGACCGCACCAAACTTAGCAAGAAAACAGCTATCTGTGTCTTTCTTGGATATGGGGTTCAACAAAAAGGATATAGATGCTATGATCCACTGACCAAAAAATTAAGTATCTCTCGCCATGTCACATTCTGGAAAAAAAAATCCCCTTTTACTCTCTCCCAAACACACAAACCTCATCTTCCCACACCTTTCAGTTTCTTGACCCATTCATTGAGTCCGCCTCTACTCATTCTCATAATCCCTCCTTGCTGTCCAGTGAGTCACCAACTAGCTCATCCAATGCCCCATTAGTAAGTACATCAATGGATGATTGTCCACCATCAACTTCGGACAACTCTATGCACCGCTCTCCATCTGCTCCTCCAGCAAGTGGTCTGCCACCACAAGAACCTCATTTGCTGCCACTTGATAATGCTCCATTAGCTTCTTCTCGACCTCACCGTGAACATCATCCACCAGCTAAGTATTCAGATTATCATTGTTATTTAACTAATATGTTGTCATTATATGAGCCTTCATCCTATAGAGAGGCCTCTGCAGATCCCTTGTGGCAGCAAGCCATGTCCGAGGAACTAGATGCCCTGGCTAAAACAAACACGTGGGAACTTGTTCCACTGCCTCCTGGTAAAACTGCAATAGGGTGCAAATGGGTTTATAAGATTAAAACCAAATCTGATGGTTCTATTGACCGGTACAAGGCTCGCCTTGTTGCTAAAGGGGCTAATCAGGAATAAGGAGTTGACTATGCGGAGACCTTTGCTCCTGTTGCTCGTATGCCTTCCGTTCGAACTCTCATAGCAGTTGCTTCAGTCCGCCAATGGACACTTCATCAAATGGACATTAAAAATGCATTCCTTCATGGGGATCTTCATGAAGAAGTTTATATGAAACCACCTCCTGGCTTTCCTCATTCCCCTCATCAAGTATGTAAACTTCAACAAGCTTTATATGGGCTTAAGCAAGCTCCACGAGCATGGTTTGAGAAATTTCGCACTTCTATTCTTACATATGGATTCTCTCAGAGTCCTCATGATTCTGCCATGTTCACTTGCACTTCCGATCATGGGATTGTTATTCTTCTTCTCTATGTAGATGACATGGTCATTACTGGCAGTGACTTGGATGGCATTCAACGTCTTAAGTCTCATTTGCATGCATGTTTTGAAATGAAAGATCTTGGCCAGCTTCGGTATTTTCTTGGTATTGAAATTGATTACTCACCTGATGGTTATTTTCTTTCTCAAATTAAGTATGCTTCAGATATTTTAAAGTGTGCAGGTTTAACTGATTCAAAGGTTGTCAACACCCCACTTGAGCATAATGTTAAACTCATGCTTCTAATGGTACCTTGCTCTCCAACCCA